TGATGATGATGCTGATCATGATGATGATGATGATGATGAGGGGGATGATGCTGATCACGATGATGATGATGATGGATGATGATGGTGATGATCACGATGATGCTGGTGAGAATGATGATGATGATGATGATGGTGGTGATGGATGATGATGATGATGATGATGATGATGATGATGATGATGATGATGATGATGATGATGATGATGATGATGATGATGATGATGATGGTCATGATGATGATGATGATGGGGATGATGCCGATGATGATGATGATGGATGATGATGATGGATGATGATGATGATGATGGTGATGATGATGATGGTGATGATGATGATGATGATGCTGATGGTGATGAAGCATGGTGAGGATGATGCTGATGAGGATGATGATGACACTGATGATGATGATGATGATGATGATGATGATGATGATGATGATGATGATGATGATGCTTTCGTTGCCTATCTTATCTGGACACTTGTTTTAATGTTGGGTGATCTTCATTCGGGTACTCTTTTCTTTGATTCAAGATTTCGAGGAGATCCAGTCCATCTTTTATTACACCTTAGAGTTACTTCTGTCTTCTTCTTTCTTCTCTTTTTGCGAATCTGGCCAAGTAATAATAATAATCATCATAATGTTTACCTCGTACCTCGAATTCTTAAAACAACATTTAACACAACATCAACAATAAAAGCACATTGGGGGTCGGCGGCATCAGGCGTCAGCCTGCTTAATACTCCTTCTTAAGGGAGTCGCCAAGCTTCTTGTACAAGGTGGCCCTGCCAAGGGGAAGGAGGAGTCCCCGACGTTCCAAGGAAGAGGCCTCCATGTCGAACTTCCGGTATGCAGGGGCTCCAAGTTCTTCGGTGGGCCTGCAAGCGCGGCCTTTTCTGAGCAGGGAAACCTTCTTGGAAGGAGTTCTTAGAAGGGGTTGTTAGAAGGTCTGTGAGACCTAATGTTTTGTATGTCCCTCCTGATTCCCACCCAAGCTCCATACAGCTCAACCAGATCGGACACTGCACAGCCAAAGGGCATGTCCAGGACTCGGAAGCAAAGCCCGAGCTCCGTGAAGAGGTCTTCCTGACAGGTTTTTTCTGACCCCAACTCTGCCATGCCGCCACATCCCCTCCTCAAACTGCCGGATCTCTTCCAGCATCTTGTTGGACCTCGCGCAAACACCCTGAACTTGTGGTGGTTCAAATTTCAACAGCTGGGGCAAACCGCAGGTGTTCGTCTCTCTTTCCAGAAAAACCAAGGTGCCATTTTGGGGATGCCATTTTTGGGGATTCCACGGCCACGTCTGCCTTTGGGCCATAAAGGCGAGACCGTGAAACTGCATCGAGGCCGTCCGAGCCCCGGGCTCCTCCACGTCGCTCCGCGTGACAACGAACAGCTCCACCTGGGGTTTGCCCAATGAAAGCCCAACTCGGAGCTTGAAAGTCCGATGCGAACCAGACGTTCAAAAGGACCATCCAGACGTACAAATCCAACTTCCTGGCTGGTGGTAGGGAATAAGGGGTTAAAGCTGGGGATTCCCGAACAAAGGAACCACAAGGGATTGGTTATAGAATTCTGGGGTTCCTTCCATTTCTCATTCCCTGTATCTCTACCAACCCGATCGCAAGTTTCGTCCGTCCGGCCTTGCTGAACTGATGCAACCGGTAGATGCCGCGGTTCTCGGAGCCGGAGGACCCCGCCTACGGCGATCGCGTCGCTAACGCGCGCGGCTCGACGCGCTCGCCGCGCGGTGCTATTCGCGCGCTGCCTCGGTGCGGAAGGCGTGGCCAAAGGCCACCAGCCGCTTGGGAAGCTCCTGCTTCGTGGCCAAATTGGGACCCACCTCCCCCCCCCCTCCCCCCCCCCCACAAAGTGGACTTCGCTGTTTCATTTATGCCTTTTTGGTTTCCAAATCAAACCGAGCCCCAAACAAAAATGATCTTGGCGCTTCATGTATAGTCTCTTCTGGTGTTAAACCAAAAAAAAAAAAAAAAAAAAAAAAAAACAACACCCTCAAAACATCTCAAAACCAGAGATCCGAGCTGATAAGGCGCGATGTGGAAGTCCAGAAATCTGGTGAATCTTACTGCCATGTCCTTGCAGAACTCCAGGTCGCTCCCAAAGGCTCCCTCTTCGAAAGCAAAATGTTGGATAGCTCCGAGTCCGGATACCTCCCCTCCAACCACCAGCTAGCTTAGCAAATGGTTCTGGAACCTAACGGACCCCTCCTTGGAGGCGATCAGCGTCTCGTTCATGAACATGCCTGGCGCGCCAAACGCTTTTTCAGCGGCACCCTTCGTGCCGCAATACGAAAGGGTTCTTAAATGGGGGTTTGGTGGACATCAGATACATGGGTATCTATGTTTACCAACCACATTTCTTGCTGGTGCCTCACTAGGGAATGCCCCTTGCGGGTGGTGGGAATGAACCGGTGTTGGGGATGCCCGAATAAAGGAAACCCGGAGAAATGGATGGTGTTTTTCTCGGGGGTCATTCCTTCATCTCGTTCCCTGCTGATCGCACCGCCAAGTCAACAAATGAATAGGGCTGTCTCCTTGTGGGCGTTCATCACTTTTGCTAACGTGACACCCTCCAGGCAGGACGGTTCCTCCAATCCACTGCCAGAACCTAGCAATGGCCATAGAGGATGGTTTATTATATAGGGGTCCTTCCATTTCTCATCCCCTGCTGAGCAAGACATGTGTCTACCCCCGAAATGGAAAATTCAGTCTTGGGGTTAGGAGGGTACGTGCTGCTGAGCACCCACCCACTTTTCATTGGCTCCAACTCAGCCGCCGGGGTTTTGCTTCGCAAAGCAAACCAAATTCAGCTGCTGGGAGCCTGCCATCGGGATCTCCGCCGTGCCCGCCAGGCAAAGATCCGAGTCGCCTGGGGTCAGCTTCTTTCTGGTGGCTTGGAGCCGAATCGGTGGTTTGGTGGCTAACGAGGGTCAGCCCCAGGTACCCTCCACAAAAGCCAGGGGGTCAAATCCCAAACCAATCCAAACCACCAACTAAGGGTTCCTGATGACGGCCGGTGAAACGAACAATGGCTGGGGGAATCATGCGGACTGAGATGGACTGAGGTACATGTGGGTGGCTCGTCCTTTGGGAGTTGGTACGTCCTTTTTGCTCGGGTTGCAAAAAGGGGACATTGACCGGAACAACCGCAATCCGTTTTGGGGGGCCCTGTGCCCAACTTTGGGGGGGAGTGAGCCCTGGCAGGAAGAATACGGCAGCGACGTTCTGAGGCCAGCACTCACTTCGTAGATCCTCAAGCTTCAATGTGGGCCACAGTCGAACCCTCTCACATTTTGTATGGTCACGGTTCGCCTTCATGGGATCCACAACTGATGGATCCCAAACGGAAAAAAAAAAAAAAAAAAAAAAAAAAAAACGCTTTAGCTTGGCTTACCCCTTAAAACTCCAAGCCCTGGGGAAGTTAATCTTTTACAGACATATAGCCCACGTTACCCAAAAAGTTGAAAAGTTGTGTTTTTAAGAGGTAAGTTGGAATGTCACCTGTTAGCAAAATCGGGGCCGATCCAAATGCCTTGTTGCTTGGGGTTGATTGAATTGGGGCAGCCAAAGCGTGGGGGTTGGGGCAACCAAAGATCCGGGATAGCCAGTCTCCTTGATATATTACCAAAACGCATTCCTCTTTGCAGCTTCATGAAAAATGCACGGAACCAAAAGCACAAACGAAGGACTAAAAAACAGTACAAGAACAGGGAACGCCAAACATCATCTTGGCAACGATCGCGCCCTGAAACCCCCCGCCACCGCAAGTCCAAGGCTCTGCGTGGCCTCACCGTCTCGCGGCGCGAACCCGCAGCCAGCGACCACGGGAGCCTTGGAAAGCACATCCGCCACAACTGCCGGGTGTGGACTTAGAAACGCCTCATCCCGAGCCAAACGCCCCAACAGATTCTCAAAGCTCTGCATCTGAGTCATAGGTGTGCTTTTAGGGGAAATAGATGGCCCTGGAGAATTAAACCACCAGGTAAACCAGGAATCGCCATCTAATTGTTCGACCAAAGCAACCAAAAAGCGGCCCAACAAACCCTCGTTTGAGGCCCCGGCCCTCACCAGATCCGGCGGGATGAAGGGTTCGAAGCCGCGCTTCACGGCCTCGGCATCTTCAGTCAACCTTTGCCACCATCCGCTCCGCCGACCCCCCCCCCCCAAACCAAAAAAAAAAGGGCGACCCCGGCGACCCCCGTTCCGCCAAAAAAAAACAGAGCAAGGAACGAGGAAACCCCCGGTTTGCCGCACTTGCGAGAAGAACTACCGGCCTCGTGGGCGGCCCACTGGACCAGTGCCAACTCCAAGAGTGCCGCGCCGTTCTTCAAGTACCTGGCAAAATGGCCACATTTCCCCATGGCAAGCGCGACTCAGCACTTCCATGGGAAGTGCCTACAGCAGGCCGCCAACGTGGTCTTTGCCTTGTCTGCCTTGTCGCGAAGGAAGCAAACACGGGGCACAGGAACTTCTGACCGCTGACCTGCGCATCGACGCGCGGAACCAGGAGATCTCAATTGCCTATTTGAACCCAGGAATAGCCTGATGTCCCGCTCAAAAGAGGAACCCAATCTCTGGCAACCCTTGTGCGACAAACAGGCGGTTAGCAGTTAACACAACAAGTGCCCTGTGTGACTTGCACGGCTCACCAAAAACCAATAGCCTTTGCGCCAGACTCGAAGTCAAAGAGATCGAGCATTTCTCCTGTCGGAGAGGGAACAGCCTCGAAAGTGGTTGGAGTGACAGCAGGCCTTGGTATGACCACCATGTGGCCATGGGTCAAAATCTCGTACCCCCAGTGAACATCCCAATCCCCACTAAAATAGGTTCTAAAACGGGTGGTGCACCTACCCCAACATGGTACCAGTGGTTTTGACCCACGGCCATGTGGTTCTTCACAATCCCACATTGTGCTCTGGTAAATAACAATCGGACCAACGCGAATCAAGATGCTGGGCTGACACCCAAGCTAAAGTACCACACAAACATCACCTTCAAAGGCCGATTCGCCTTGGAAAGCTGAGCGCAAAAAGGGAAATAAAACGGAACAGCGCAAAAAGGCAAGCAAGTACTCTCATGGTACCAGTGGTTTTGACCCACAGCCATGTTTTCCACAATCCCCACAAAGCGCTCTGGTAGCGCATTGCCTGCGCGCGCGCCGCCGCCGCCGGCAGGCCGCTCCTATCTCCAAATGGTCTCGCAGCTTGAAGCCCGCGCTTTCGGAGCTTCTCGGCTCGCCGTTGATGCGCAGGACCTGGCCCATAGGTGTCCTTTTTAGGGGAAATCGATGGGTGTCCCTGGTAGATGAGAAAAAAAACCACCAGGTAAACCAGTGCCATCTATTTTTCAACCAAAACAACCAAAAAGGACACCTATGGTTGCGAATCCTTGCGGACTACTGCATGAACACACTGTTGCGTCAGCGAGCCGTCGCACACAGACTCACTGATTGCAAGTGGCTGAGTCTGCATCATAGCAGCCCAAATCAGTAAGTTCACATCCTTTGCATCTTCGCAAAAATGCACAAACCGCAAGCTGTCGTTCAACCAAAGCGAACAAAACGGGGTGGCGGCAGATGTGCAGCAAAGGTCTATCAGCTGCTTTTGCTTCATGCCCTGCTCCATGTGAGGCCTGTGGGAGAGCTCTTACGCTGATGATCCCCTTTCCACTGCTTCTGCTGCGTCTGCAACTCTTGCTAAAGCTGGTACCATTGCCCGGCTGCGGCATTGCAGTTTCCATGCAAACGTAGCAATCGCACTGGCACTGGACGTGCCATGCTTCGTTTTGTGGTGTGTGTGTGTGTGGGACCCCCCTGAACAATGATCTGGATCAGCAAGACCGAAAAAAATGGTGGGACCCCTGTGCCTGTTGTGGCTTGTCTCCTGTGGGTGACGCGATTTGTCTGCATCGGAGCTCGCGGCTGGCCCCGATGGGCCCCAACTGAGATCGAGACTGTAGCATTCTCCTCGTCGCCAATCGGGGTGTCCTGAGCGCACTTCGCCGACTTCGCGCAATCGCGCAATCGCGCGCAAGTGCGGGGACGGTTGCTTTTTCTAGCTATGCTGTGGGCTCTTAGTGTACTTCCCGAGGGCTCGGCGGGATGCGTCAAGTTGGGTACCTCCATCGTGGTAACATCCGCCACTGGCAGAAGCTCTCAGCAGCCCAGCTCATGAATCTAAGTGCGGTGCACTCAGCGCGAGGTGGCTCATCTTTTGATTCAGCTCGTCCACTTGCGCTTCCAAGGAGCCGATCTCCTCCGTGCGATTGGCTCAAGCCACTTTGTTGGGGGGGGGGCTTTTTGAGGGGACTCATTGTGGTACAGTTGGTAATGAACTCCAGCTCTGTAAAGTTGCAGGGAGGCAGACCAAAGACTTGCATGTCCCGACCTCCTTGATCTTCTTGCCTTCCGCTATCAGGGCCTGTCTTTGCTCAGGCTCCATCTTGCCCTTCATCGACCTTGGTACACTTGTCTGTGAGACATGGGGTTGCCCACTGCAAACATCACCTCTCGCGGAGGATGTGCTCAACAAAGGGTGGGGGCCTTTAGGGGAACGCCTCACAGTTCACTCAGGGCAGATCTTTGCATGCTCGTTCCGCTTCTTGGCGAGCTGCCTCAGTCAAGCCCCGAAAAACTGACCACCGATGACTGGCCACATTCTTCTGCCATGATCAAAGTCACCTGGGTTAAAGGCAAACTTCCCCATTTTCTGACCTTGATATTTCTAGGAGAAAAAAAACGAAAAGAACAACGCCGGATCCTTTGCTCTACAGACCCAGGGGCCAGGGAGGGGGGGCCTTCTTGCAGTGCTCGCCCGATATCAAGGAGACCCGTGCCACATGTCCGCAAAGGCCCGTGTCTTGCGCTTCCATTTGCATAAGCCCCCCCCTGGTGGAATTGTTTCCCTTGAAAACCAACAAGGGCAAATAAATATGGCCGTCCTTACAGCAAATGAAAGTGAGCAATCCCAAGCACTTCATACCAGGCAGCTGCAGCTCAAAGGCGGACCCCCGATGCTCCTGGCATCGAATTGGTTTGGCTCTGGCGCGCCAGGGCCTGTTTTGTGGGGCGGAAATGGGCGTGGGTCAAAATAGGTACCCCAAATGGAACCCTGGTAAATGGAAACAAGGACTAAAACCTGCAGTCCAATTCCTGGTGGTTTAATTCTGACCCATATCCAAATGATTCGTTTTGTACCGCTTTCTCTGAGGGCCATACCGTGATGCATTGCCACTTCCGCATGATATGCCAGCCAGATAATCGGCCTTCCTTTAAAAAATATCCCCTTCTACTGCGGATGGACAAAATCCTGCACCACTTGGGATAGACCAAACCCTAGAAGAATCATGCGATGAAGCACCTACCAACTGCTGCAGGATTTCGTCCATCCACATCGATCCCCCTGGTACCGAGACAGGTCAAAGCGCGATGGCTACAGCGTTCGCCTGGTAGACCCTGGCGATCTCCGCCTAAAGGCGCCAGCATCGCACGGCCAGCGCGAAGAAACAAGGTGCGAGCCCGGGAGAGGCGACTGACCCCAGTGGTCAATAGGGGGCTTCTACTTTCCGACTACCCCAGGGTACACTTAAACCCAGGCATGGTCCGGCATGGTTCACTCCCCCCAAAAGCAGAACCCCTGGTTTTAGTCTATCCTGGGGTGGTCAAAAAGTGGAACCCTGAGGAGGGGTCCCCTTTGGGGAGGGGCACATTCTTAAAGAGGGAACGCCCGCGCATTGATCCGACATGTTGATCCATCAAGTGCTGGCATCAAGTAGGTAGCGGGCCACATCACATTTGAACTTGCGGTTCTCGGCATTTGCCTGCACCTGCGCGGCGTCAGGCGGTCCCAGACGAACATGTTTGGGCCGTTTGCCTCATCCACATGCTCGGCCCAGTAAGCGAAGTCGAAGGTCGGCCTCAGTTGAGCGAGAAAATGCCACACCCACCCAACCCCCCCCCCCCCGCCCTTCCCGCCATGTTTTTCGCTTTTTTGTTTGGGCAAGGGGGGGGGGGGGCATCTGTTGCACACATCTGACTTAGACACATGTTGCAAGCGACAAACTCCGTCCCAAAGTTAGGCTATGCTGAAGTATCGACCAAGAGGCTTCACAACTTCGGTCTCACGATCCTGACCAGGGGCGAGTCTTCACGAAGACTTGGAAAGCGACCCTGATGCAAGAAGCAGTTTCAGGAGATAAACGAAGGTACGACCGCACCCTCCTTTTGAGAGAGCCCAAATACTGGGCACGCAGATTTTTGCTTCCCGTTGCTTCGCCCAACATCGCATGGTTGACCCACAAAAACGGAACCCTATTAGCCTCTAATAGGTCTCAATTGGGGGCGCCCCTATTGGGGGAGGGGGACCCTTTACAACCCCCCCCCCCTCTCGCTTGCCTTGGCCTTGGCCTTGGCGACGTGCTTCGCAAGCCGCCGTCTCGACGGCACGCCTCGCGGATCCGTGCGGCAAAATGCGCCGAAGATGTTTGTTTCTTCAGGGAAACCCCTCCTTAGCAGGGTGGGGCCACCCATTGGTTTAAACATGTTTAAACCACTGGTTATGATGATTCTTCCCTTGCACAGGTGTTTAAACCACATTTTGCCCCACCCAGCTCCTCAGCCACCAAACCACCAATCCAAACCACCCATCAGAGGGAAGCTGATTTGTTGGACATTGTGTTGCGCTCCTTCTGAGATCGGCCGTGGGTGGGGATGTGAAGTGTGATAGAATAATGGTCAATAACATTGTATCTTAAGGACCTTCTGTGATTTCGTTTGGAAATTTGGTGAGCCCCCCATATTCTTCCCAAGTAACGAGCATCTCACGCGGTTCCGGCCTACATGACACGCGGCAAAAAGGCGGGGCAAAGCCAAACCGGGCCTCGCCCATGTCTGGCGCAGAGTGCGGCCGCTGCAACGCAGCTCACGCTCCAAAGCCCAGGTCCCGCTCCAGGTGGCGAACCTCCGATGCCACACCACACAGGCAGGTGACAGGCCATCGGAGACCTATAATTATATACAAATATTGTACATGCGCATATGCTACAATCAAACACAAAAAAAATAAATATTAATAATAATAAAATAAATAAAATGGAAATTTGACATTATGTTTATGATAAATTATATTATAACGTGCAGAAGGTGGAATCGAACCACTGAGCTTATTTCATCTCCTACGGAATTGTAAAAAAATGGACTGAGTCTAACTACGGTCACATAGACTCCAAACTGGATGCTTGTGGTGTGATCAACTTTGCCCTTGAGACAATGGATTTAGATTTTCTTAATGCATGTTTTGATTGTGAACAATGTTAACTTGCATGGTATAAATTGATCTTAGTGAAATTAAATATCGCAGATAATTATACAGTTATACATACAATACAGGATCCCAGAGAAACCAAGGGGGCTCGGTGAGCCTCCAGTAGAGAGGTTAGAATAAGGGTACCAACTTTTTCCGTAGCCTATTTTAGTAGGGGAACCCTCCCAACCAAAACAGGGGTGAGAAAGGGCACCTAGCTGGGGAACCTAGAAAAGCTTCACCAAATGAAGCCCATCCTTCCCAGCCCCACGCGGCTTCATGGCACACAGACCTTCCGAACCTCACCGAAAGCCCACCCGCCCGCCTGGCGTTGGCGGCGCGGTGCTTGAGGACGAGGCGTGCCGTGGCAGGGCCGGCGCGGTGCTGAGAAAGGGCGGGCTTCGTGCATTCAGCCTGAGCCCAGACCCCCCCTACCATACGGGGGAGGGGGGAACTAGGGGAGGTGGGGATGGCCCAGGAAACTGCTCCCCAAATGGAAAAAAGGCTCTGGCAGCTTTTGGGTTACTTCATTAACGTCAAGTGAGCTGCCGCCTCACAGGCAAACCAGCAAGTTGCTGGGATTTCCTCGACTTGGGACCTGCTCGCCTCCTGCCTGCGCATTGGCGGACGCCCAACAATGGGGGGCGAATCTGCCTTCCAGCTGAGCCCAACGCATGCTCAGCCGCTGATGTGCCAACCAGCCGCCCGCAGCCACAATAGCTACGGCGCACAAGTTGAGCCACGTGTCGTGAAGCCACGAGACGGCGCTGCAAGCAATCCCGGCAACCCGTGGAATACTCCGCTTGGGCATCTGCTGCATCCGCTCTCCCGAGCCTGAGGCTCCGGCAGGCATTCCTCGGTACGCGCTGTTCACGGGCACACCCAAGCGGTGGGCCGTCACGGCAGCTTGTGGCTGAGCGCATGCGCTCAGCATCTCTTCGGTCGAGATGCCAGCGCTGGCTGCTTTCTCACCTGTTCCTGAGGGACTGATTGGGACGCTCCAGGCACGTTGCGCTGCCACGAAATCACTCCGGCCTGGGAGGCTGACAGCAGCTTGAAGCCGGCAGCATGGGCCACCTCGCTCCGGCGCGAGTTGGCAGCTCACTCAAGAAGCCATGCGCAAGCAAAACTTTTGCAGCTCCCAATGGAAGGCTCCCATTGCCTCTGGGCCTCTGGGGTGCTAAGCCAAGAGCCCGCATGAGCAAAGACCTGGCAGGGACTCGTTGCGAAGCTGCGGGTCGAACTAGTTTTTCCCCCCGAGACTGCGGCTCAACGCGCAGCTGCGTCCCACCTCAGGCCGTATCGGATGCAACTGCCTGACCTGTGGATCTCTATTGAGGACGCAGCGCGTAAAGCCACTCAGCACGTCCATGCCTCAACTTCAGCACAGCGTCTTCCAGATCTTTCTGCGCCCACCTGCCCCAGTCAAAACGCCTGTTTTGGTCCGGCAACACATGCCATGCGCCACCCGGGACCTCACTTGCCCAAAGGACCTGGAAATAAAAGGTTAACCTTTTGGTACCTCCACTAAAAATGGACCAAAATGGGAAAACCAAAAGGTCAAAAGGTCGGCTTTGGGCAACTGAGGGACATAAGCTCCTAAGGGTCCTCAGGCTTCGGCCGAAGAGCCGCGACAATTCCCCGGCCCTGGGGAAGATTTCCAACGAGTCGGAGACCTCGAGCCGAGCCCCGCATGCAGCCGCGGGGGGGGGGGGAGATGTGGGTGGCCAAATGCCGATGGGCGGGGCCTCCAGAGACAAGGAGGCCAAGGAAGACACGTGCTGCAGGAGCGCCTCGGCTGCAACACATATCGTCCCGCACGGGAGGAACTTGCCTTGTTTTGGGATCCGGGAGAGGGTGGGGGGTCAACTCCATTTTCTAACAATCCACAGAAAACGGATTAAATGGAACCTGAAATGGAATCGCAGGGGCCACCCCCCCTCCCCCAATTGCGTTTTAAGGGGATGGGAATGTTGGGGTTGCTCCCCTCCTCAACTGGTACAACAATCTCTTCTTGGGTGGTGCCATGGTGTCATTCCGTCCTTCTGCATGCCACAACCCCACAAGCACTCCAGAATTGCTTCTGAACACGTCGCAAGCACAGCTTGTCTCTTCCTTGACCCTGGACTAATCCGCGCCAATTTTTCATCCGGGGGGGGTGTTCCCCCTGCAAGTGAAGGACCCCCTTCCCTTCCGAGAAATGGGGCTGCGTTCCCACTCCCACCATTTGCAAACTGGGTGCTACACAGGGGCTCACTTTGCCCATCCCCCCTTGGTTGCCCTTTGGAATGAACAACAGATATGGGCGTCTCAAAATAGGAAACTCCTTGGGTGGTTTTCACAGGAAACCAAGAGCTGTGGTATGGTGTAGCCAGGCCCAAGCTTCCAGCAAGACGGGTGGAAGCGCTGCCCTGATGCAGCCCAGTCAGCTCCCCTCGCTCCCAAAGAAACAGTCTTAGGTGACTTGGCCATGGGTCAAAACCCAAATTGTAGCCCCAGTGAAAAATAGGTTCTAAAATGGGTGGTGCACCTACCCCAAAATGGGATCCCATTGGTGTTGACCCACGGCCATTTGGATTTTCACGAGTCAAACTGGGAGTCTGAACGAGTCCTGGGTTCTGTTCTGAGGGGTCTTCTGGTGGTCAAGCTGCCTTGTAACTTATAGTTCCCTGTTGGGGTGGAAACATCTCCCCAAAGGGCGTGTCGTGGTTCAAGGGGACAGTTAAGAAGCCCTGAGAACCACTACACCTAAACGAGCTGAGGGCAGCTTGCCAACAGGTGGCATCTTCTTTCGGGGAACGCCTGCTTGATCATCGAAGCGCATGCCCGCCTTCCTCCATTGCGCCTCCATGTCTTGCAGCGAGATCTTTGGGAAATTGCGTCCCAGCCTAAGTCGTTCCTCCCCAAACTCCACCTGGAACCCGGTTGAATTCCCCTAGAAGCCGGTCAAGGAAACCAATCAAATTGCCCTAGAAACCAGTCAAGATTGCCCCACAGCCGCACAGCGTAGTAAGGCACTGCCCCCCCCCCAGTTTCCAAAAACATAGGCGTGCCGGTCAACACTTTTCGCCAAACGGGCCTTCGACGCCAAAAGAATCAAAATGGAGGATCTGTGCCTATTTTTGGGCCGCCCCCTCACTTTCAGCCCGACTCTCTCTCTAGCAGTCATGGAAGCCGGCAGGAGGATTTTTGACTTCTACTTTCCATTTTTGGGAACCCCTTTATCCACTTCCACCGTTCGAAAGAGGGCGTCAGAGTTGGAGGCAACATCCTGTTGAACCCACCCACCGCATCCGTTCTGGGTGAATTGCAATACTTCACCAGAAATAAGGTGGTTAAGAAACCATTCCCCACATCATCTCCATTTGCGGTGAATTCGGTCGTGTGAGGTCCTTATAATTCACCCAGATCCATGGGTCAAAAGCCCGTACCCCCAGTGAACATCCCAATCCCCACTACAGACAAAAATGGGCGGTGAATTCACCTACCAACCAAAATGGGATCCCAAAACGGTTTTGCCCACCACTGCCCTTTAAAGGCACGCAGACAACCCACGGGCTCCGACCCCTGGCGCGCTGGCGCCTGGCCCACGCGCGCCTGGCGCCTGGGCCCCCCTGCAGCTCTCTGCACGCCTCCTGAGGGGCGAAGCTTCGCAGCTTGGCGCCGAAGGTGAGGTTCATCAGCAGGCGCCAGACCTGAGCCGCCGGGGACAGAACCTTCTGATAGCATGCATGCAATGCATGCCATGCAATGCATGCCGTGCAATGCCATGCAATGCAATGCATGTATGTATAGATATATGTCTGCGTGTGCATGTGTATATATAAATATATGTGTATGTATATATAATGATTTATTCTCTATTTGAATCTACTTGTTCATACAATACATGCTTTTTTATATGTGCACAAATAATAATTGTGGGGTCCCTTTCGGCGGGAAAAGGAAGAGATGTGTCAAATGGTGTGGTCACATTGGGTCCCGGGAGTGAGATCCGGATTTGATTTCAGGTTTTTTCCCCCTCTCCTGAGGCCTGGGGTTGATCTTCGGCCGTTTTCCCGGACCCTGGCCTTTGAGCTTGTAGAAATGGTGTTCTCTTGCGCCTAGCTCGAACCTCCGAATGGAACCTCCGAATCATTTGAGCCTCGGGAACGCACCCCCCAACACATCCATGGCACAGGAACCACGTGTCAACAGGGCGTCAGGATTCTCAGGCTGGTTTTGAAAGGAAGCCCAATGGAAAACCGCCCATTTTGTGGGCCTAGCAAAAAACACACCCATATACTTTCTGTCCTGCAGGGCGGCTGAGCAAACTAGGCGGTCGACACCTTTCAGCCTTGCGTCACACCCTTCCCCCCCCGTGCTGTAGCCCGCGGCGTTCAAGAGCAGCCTGCCTGGCAACTGGAGCTCGCTCGGGGCCACCATCTCCGACCTCTGGAAAGGCTGCCGAAAAGGGCCAGGCGTGGACCCATGCGCTGCGGGTTTTGGGGAACCAACGAGTTGTGAACGTAGAAGCTGGCTGGGCATCTCAATACTGGTCCCCCCACACCTGAGCGTCCCACAACTCCACAACTCCCCCCCCCCCCGGATCGCTCAACCAGTGCTTTTGCGTGGTGGCGAGCCGGGAGCCGCGCTCGTAGGTTCGAGCGTCTTGACCCTGGGTCACCGTCAGTCCCAACGAAGGCAGCGGGCTGGCCTTGAGACTCGCGCGTCTCGCGCGTCTCGCGGCGCGCGCGGCCACGAAAGTCTCAATACTGGGCCCCCGAAAGTGGCAGGGGCAGCTTGAGGGATGCTCTAGGAACTTCCAGCCCCAACATGGTCAACCACCAACATGGCCATGGGCTAAGACTAACCACCAAACAAAACACAGGGTTTCGTCCTTGTTTCAATTTACCCGGGTTGCATTTGGGGTACCTATTTTTGACCCACACCCATATGTCCCAATGGTGTCCCTTTGAACCACCATTTGCTTCCGGGTCATTTCGTTTTATGCCGTACTTTTACCCCAGACATAGGCTGCCCACGTCCCAGGGAACGCGGGAGAGCGCCGCACGGATGTCCTGCGTGGCAAGTGGGGGGTCATGACCTCTGGGGATTGTGACCATAGCAGGTCGCAGAAGTTGCAGATCTACCCTTCATTTTTTGAGCCCAGAGGGGAAGGGAAAGGCTTGTCAAAGGATCATGGCCTCAGAAAACTGATGGCTCGTGGGTGCAATTCTTGTGCCGCGGCTCTCGGAAAATCCGGTGTGAACATTCGCCCCTGAGGTCGTCCAAGCAAAGGTATCTGGAAGTTGGCAAAAACAAGTCGGCAACCTTTGGCCACACCTGAGTCACAACTCTCATATGGCCTACCCAAATCCATATAAAAGCACTATAAGGGTGGCCGCACCCATTTATTGTTGGGTCTCTGCTACCATCCAACCCGAGCTTGAATTTTGGCTCACCTGGCGCTCTCAAAAGCCCCATACACTTGCTCAGGAGCCACAAAACGGGCGCTTTGAGCGTATCCACATTTCGCACAACTAAAGCACGCATACCCCGCGAAGTAGCTGCTTTGGGGTTCGTGGAAGCCATAGAGACTGGCTTAAGTCGCGAGCATTTGGGGTTGTCTCAACATAGAACCCAACAAACGGCAATGGATTCCTTTTGGTGTCTATTTAAGCCGAGCCCAGGGTGGGGGT